GTATATATATATATATATATATATTTGTATAGACAGACACAAACAAACACTCTCTTATGCTAAACGATACATTGCTTCTCATTCTCAATTACTGTAATTACTCTGCGAATGCAAATGAACCCACATTTTATTGGGCTCCACGGAAACTAGTGTTAAAAAATTATTCCTGTTTAGATTTGAGCTCCCACTAATTTAGGCCCATATCTTACACTCGTCGATTTAACTATTTCAACAATGATTTTTCCTCCACATTTCTTTAGAAATTTTGGTTTACAGCAGAAAGTTAGAGAGGAGCCAACCTCATTATTATTTTTTAATGTTGAGTTAATTATATCATTACTATTGATATAAATGCAATAATGTCACTTTATAAAATTATAAGTTTTATAAATCAAATATATAAATATATATAGTCGACAAGGACGAAGTCAGACGAGCTCACTAGTTAAAATGAGACATTAGAATTTAATTGATATATTTTTACTTTTTTGAGTTCAAATAAAAACACTTAGATGGGCCATGGGAAGCAAAGCCTATTAGGTCCAAATATAACTGGACCGGATGATGTTCATTTCTATCCAACTCATTTTATAATTTATAAATTATCTTCATTTCTAAAATTATTCATATTTAATTTTTGGAAAACATAGCTAAAATTTTATGTGATATAAAAATATATACTGTATTTTTTTTTGGAAGAAAACTTATAGTCTAAAATAAAATTTATATTCGTACATTATTTCTAAAATTTATATGTTTTATATCAACATTTAACAAAATCTAAAATAGAAGTATTATTAGATTAGCTGATAAGAATTTTTAATTATGTGTTAAAAAGATGATGTATTTACTAGTTTAAAATTAAACTAGACTAGTATATAAAAAAATAAATAAATAAATTATTTTATAAAAGAGTCGATGGAGTTCAGATTTTTTTTTTTTTTAAAAAAAAAACAAAAATATTTAATAGATTTAAAAAATAAATTAATTTGTAATAATAATCAATTTTAATTCATAAATTATATAATTAACTCAAATATAAAACTATTTGATCGATTTAGATTATGATCGATAAACTGAATGCAGTACACTGAGACAAGAAAGCTCAGCTATTATATTCTACAGTGGGATAGTATAGATCGATCCTTCTCCTCTTCTTCTCCATTTTTGTTTCTCTAGATCTCCCCAGTCACTCGAAATTAACAAGCACGCACTGGATCCGCAGTTCCATATAGATGAAGCTTTTGCAGTTGGGCTTACTAATTGCTTTAGCCTCTGGTTTCACAGCCATTATCATCTACATCACCGGTGTCTCCAATTTCTGTACGTTTATATATTTCGTTTTGTTCTGTATATATGTGCGTTTCCCTGTGTTTATATGTATATTTTTATCTGTTCGATCGAGCAATTGTTTCCATTTATATGATACGCAGACAACTCTAATCCGCTAACTGATGAGGATTTGGAGGCTTTGCTGTCTCTCCATAGTGGTTTCCGGAAGTGTGTGGTGAGCATTCTCTTTCGATTTAATATTTTGTTCTCAATCGCCGTTTCCTTTTCATGCTTATCTGGTGAGAATTGCAATCTTGGATATTTGTTTGTGTATGGATTTTCATTAATAACTTGAATAGCACTACGTTTATAAGTAGGGATTTTACACTGTGTTTGGGAGTCTAAAGAAAGTGAAGTGAAGGATCTTAAAAATACATCACAAATTATTATAGAAATGACTAATCAAATCTAAAGAAAGTGCACTTCAAACAGTTACTATTCAACTCTAGTTTATGCTCCTTTGCCCTAAAATTAATCTCCCAAAGTAAAGTAAAAGAAGTTAGAGTACACTAAAGCGAGACTCCTTAGTAAACTATCAGGGATAGTTATAATAAAGAAGGTAAAGGGAAGATTTTAACTGCAATCTTGTTTGGTTGCAAGAGTGAAATGAGAAAGGAATTGTTAAATATGACAAAAATATTTTTTCATATTAAAAATATATCAGAAAACATGAGAAAATGGGGAACTAGGTAATTTACCAAAAATACAAAGTTAAATGAAATTATGGAACTTCCTGACCCATTAATTTGGGGATTGGATAGTTGGGTATTAAGAGGGTAAAGCAAGAACTTGGTTGAACTTCTGCACATTACTTCTCTTAAAAAACTCTCAGGGGAGTTACTATTAAACTTCACCGTACCTTTTCCTTCTTTTTCGTAATAATTAATTTCTCAAACACAATTAAGACTAGTTGATTCCTATAGTTCTAACAAGTAAAGCTTGTTATGCCATTTTAGTCTTGGCAATTTTTATAATTGTTTTAAGCTAATCATTTAAATTGCTGTTGTTAAAAATGTGTTTTCTATCATTTGTTCCTTGATCTTGATCATGTACAAGTGTGGCATATCATATACATGAGATGTTGCCACACACAGTGGTTAGGTTCCTCAATCAAGGTTTTATTTGCTGCATCTGATAATGGTGCAGAGAGCAAATGGTTTGGGTCTACAAGCTGTAAGTGGCAGAGATTATTGTCAGGTTACCATAAAGTTTCCTAGTGATACTGTCCCGAAATGGGTAGGTTTCTCTTTTAACTATTCCCAGAAGTTCTCACACATTTCATAAATCATGGTGGCTTTATTCAAAGATGTAGTGTCTGACTGGCAGTTTCATTTGAAATTTTTACATTCACAGAGAGATCCTAAAACTGGAGAACTTGAAGGATTATCATTTGATTTTAATCTATGTGAAGCTGTGGCTACATGGGAACAGGTGAGTGTTTTAGTTAGTGTTGCATTTTGTTAAGAACTTAAATTTGTCCTTGTTTTCATTTTGTTTGTCTTCACAGTTGATTGGTTATTTAGTGAGTTGATTGCTCAGTGCGGAATAGTAGCACAGTGCTCACTCGAGAGTTTATTGATGCTTTACCAAATGGCTGGGAAGAATATGCATGGCGTAGGATTAATAAAGGAGTACTTCTGTAAGTGCTATGCTTCATCTTGTACTTGAATATTGATTAATTCATTTTACTATAGATGGACGAATGATATGCACTTACACACATAGTATATGATAGTATGAAACAATGTGAGTTCATACTATTTCCTTCAAGTTAGATCTTGGTAGTGTTGCAATTGGAACTTGAATATGTTTGCCCCATTGTGTTGAGGACGCTGAAGGAAAGTAATATGTTTTAGTTTGAGAGAGAATATCTTTAGAAGTCCTACCATATATATATATATATATTATATTGAATGTGAGGAGCTTGAAATTGATGACATTTTGGATGAACTCAACAAAATCGAATGCAAAGAGGGGGATGTCGGTTTCAACTCAGATGAGTCTTGCAGAAGGGACAAATTGAAAAATGAGGTGGCGGAAAATTTAATGGAGACAAAAATCTAGAGAAAAATGGTTAAAAGATAGTGACAGAAACATTAGATATTTTCAATGCCTTGCGAATCATAGAAGGAGAAATAATTATATTGAAGAATTAAACTTTGAGGGGAAGATGATATCGGGTAATACTGATCTTAGAGAAGCTGCCAAAAACTGTACACTAAAGATTTTCCAATGCGGCCTACGCTGGACAATCTTCAATTTGATATCATTGACTACAATAACAGAGAGTTACTAGAGACCGAATTTTCTGAATCTGAAATTGCTGCTGCCCTTAAGAGTTGTGATGGCAATAAGGCCCTCGGCCCTGATGGCTTCAACCTCAAATTTATACAAACTTTCCAGTACCTCTTGAATAAGGATATTCTTAATGTATTCAAAGAGTTTCATCGGGATGGTGAGTTTGTAAAATCTCTAAATTTCACTTTTATTGTTCTCATCCCTAAAAAAGGAATGGGTTAATTGCTTTAAGGATTTGGCTTATTAGCTTAATCAACAGTGTTTATAAGCTTATTTTCAAAATTTTATCTAGAAGACTATCTCAAATTTGATTATTGGAGAGAGTCAACATGCGTTTGTAAAAGGTAAACAAATCTCCGATGCTTTCATGATTGCAAATGAATTTGTTGATGAGTTGATTATTAACAAAAAGAAAGGAGTCCTCGTTAAACTTGATATGGAAAAGGCTTTTGATCATCCCAACTGGGATTTCATCAACTACATTCTTTCTGGTGTGGTGTTGGTATCAAATGGAGAAAATGGATAAAAACTTGCATTACTTCTACAAGTTTTGCAATGATGGTTAATGGTGGGCCTTTTTCTTTTTTTTTCCAGCTTATAGAGGTTTACACCAAGGTGATCCGCTTTCCACTTTACTCTTTATTATTGTTATGGAGACTTTTAGCAAGTTGTTACATAGGGCCACTGATTTGAACATGATTAAAGGCATCACCCTTGGAAAGGAGAACAAGCAAATCGAATTATCACATATCTTTTTTGCTGACGACTCTTTGATTTTCTGTGAGCCTAAAACTGAATACTTATTACACTTGAGATGCATTCTCCTTTGTTTCCAGGTTATTTCTGGTTTAAAGATTAACATGAATAAAACAGAGTTGGTGGGCATAGGTCTGAATATGGATAAAGGCGAACAATTGGTTACTGTTTTGGGCTTCCAAGAAAAGAACCTCTCTATCAAATACCTCGGTTTTTCACTTGGCCTCAAATACAAAGATCAGAAGGGTTGGGAACCAATTGTTGATCTTTTTGACAAAAGACTTGCGACATGGAAAAGAGGTTTCCTCTCAAAAGGTGGAAGATTAACTCTCATTAAAAGCACACTCTCTAATCTTTCTTTATATTATCTATCGGTTCTCAAGGTACCGAATCAGGTGGCTAAACAATTAGAGACTATTCAGAATAAGTTTCTTTGAGGAGATTCGGATAATAAAAAAGCATATCATTTGGTCAAATGGGATGAAGTCAAGCTGCCAATGACCATAGGTGGCTTGGGTATAAGACCTATTACTAATATCAATAAGGCGTTTCATGGTAAATGGATTTGGAAATACTTCAATGATGTTAACATTATTTGGAGAAAAATTGTGGATCTCAAATGGATGAACTTTAACAAAAATAGCAGTCTTATCTTCTCTAATAGATCTCATGGTGGATCTCAAATGGATGAACTTTAACAAAAATAACAGTCTTATCTTCTCTAATAGATCTCATAGGACTAGTGTTTGGAAAGAGATTTTATCCATATTCACCAAGTTGATGTCTTAACACTTACTGGAAAATTGGTAATGGGTGCAGAGTAAATTTCTGGAATGACTGTTGGTGCGGGGAGGACAATCTTAAATCTGTTTTTCCAGCTATTTATTCTATCGCACAATGCAAAGATTTAATGGTTTCTGATGTTTTTGACATTGATGGACTATGTAATGTGTTGGTTACACGAAACTTGAATGATTGGGAGTTGGATGAATATGGGAAACTCCTAAATCTGATGGCTGGTATTAAAATTCTGGACAGACCTGACTGTTTGATCTGGAAGGGACAAAAAAATGGCAAACTCACTATTCGATCCTTCTACAAATTGCTTTCCAACTCCAATATCCGGTGCAACATTGCAAATAATTCTCAATTTCCTTTCAAATCTATCTGGAAGACTGGTGCTCCTCCCAGAATTGCATTTTTTGCTTGGGAAGCCTATAAAGAGAAGATTCTGACCTTAACAACTTGATGAAAGGAGGAAAAATTATGGTTAACAGGTGTTTTCTATAAGTGTGACAATGAGAGCTGTAATCACATTCTTCTTTGGTGTCCCTTTGCTTCAAAACTTTGGTTCATGATCTTTAATTTAATTGGTATTACTTAGGTAGTGGCTGGATCCGTTCATGATGAACTCCTGGCTTGGGAAGGTTTAAACTCATGCAATCATGTTAATCACCTTACCCCCCTATACTATTTTTTGGACCATTTGGAAAGAAAAAAACAATAGAGTTTTTGATGATAATGAAAATGCTATTGTAAATATTAAAAATAGATGGTTACATTGTTTTGACTCCATCTTTTTGTGTCATAACTTATTATCTTTCAATGATATTAGAGCTGTTATCGATATTCTCTTAAATATGTAATACTTTTATACATGGGCTGTACCCACTTGATGCCCTTTTCTAATACATTTACTTGCTTTTATCTCCAAAAAAAAAAATTAAACATTATATTGAATGTATTTGTGTTGATTTTGGAGAAAATATATAAATTTTATTTCTCGTTGTTTAAATTGTTACACCTGAGGTACTTATAGAATTTTTAACCTATTAATAAAGAAATTAGTATTATACTAGAATTCTAATTAGATGAGATTACTATTTTAGTAGAATTCTAATTATATCATCTTAATTAATTAAATGATAAGCTAATTAAATAATAAAATATCATATTCAACACCCCTCCTCAAGTTGGGGTAAAGATATCATATATGCCCAACTTGCAGATAAAGTTCCAAATTCAAGGCCTTTTTGAAAATTTTGATCAGTCTTTTTTGGTTGTTTTTCTTGCTCCTCTACGTGTGTCTGCCTCAAGTTTTGCAATCCAGCGCAGATCTGCTTCTTTTGTGCGCAATCTGCTCCGACCAGCATTTTTTGATCCATGTTAATTTTGGAGAAAAAATATAAATTTTATTTCTTATTTTTTAAATTATTACACCTGAAATATTTATATAGTTCTTAATCTACTAATAAGTAAATCATTATTATACTAGAATTCTAATTACATAAAATTATTATTTTAATATAATTCTAATTATATTATCTTAATTAATTAAATAATAACATATCATATTCAACAATATATCTTCAGAATTATTGGGAAAAATCTTGTTTTATAAATTTCTTTAAAAACTTACTAAATTCGAGTCTTGACTTACTTTGTTTCTGGTTGCAGCAACCGCTGTCAGAATAAATCTTTGTGTGTTGAAAAGCTCTCATTGGTACTGCCTGAAATACCTCCATATTATCCTCGGCAGTTTGGCCAATGTGCTGTTATTGGTAACTCTGGAGATCTTTTGAGAACTAAGTTTGGGAAGGAGATAGATAGTTATGATGCTGTTGTTAGAGAAAATGGTGCTCCGATCCAGGTAATTGTTATGGCTTCCAACTATAGTGTTGCTTCTTTTTGCTCGATTTGCGATGCCTCTATTGTGTGGTTTGTTGCAGAATTATACAGACCATGTGGGAAAAAAAAGCACATTTCGACTTCTTAACAGGGGATCTGCCAAAGCCCTTGATAAAGTTGTAGAGTTGGATGGTATGAGCAGTGACACTTATTCTCTATGACTTATTGGTAGACAGTTACTAACTAGCCAAAATTTGCAGAAACACAGAAGGAGGTATTGGTAATTAAAACGACTATTCATGACATCATGAACAAGATGATTCGGGTTCGTTTGTTGCTTCCTATAGTTTCTTTGAGTGATCTTTCATTTCCTGTACTACATTTTTGTGTGTGAAATTTAGATTGTGCAAGTCATTTTATCTTTTCAATGAGCGTCATGTTTCTGGTCTGAGAATTCCTTTTCCTTTACTTAGAAATGATACTGAGCCAAATTTCTTTTTTACTTCAGTCTATTGGTCTGACCTGTAGGTTGGATTCAATCGCTTAATGAATGCACTCAAAATGACATATATTACATGCGCTATTTGTGAGGCTAATTGTTTAACAATCCTCTCGCTGGAATCAAATTAATAACCTTTTTGATAAATCTTAAGCATGTTTATGTTTTACTTTTATGTTTCCTAACATAAAGGCCTTTCAAATTATGCTCTACTGAAGTCATTATGAAGCTTTATTTCCTATTCTTGCCACTGTCCCCACCATTGATAAGATGGTAATCAAAAACCCTCTCTTCAATGTTGCAGACTTAAAAGTCCTCTTATTTTTGCCTTATATAAAGGTAAATTCAGTTTGTTTAGTACTTCTATTCACCATCATTGGAAAATCACACATGTAAACACATACACTAAACAGCTGTATATGGTATTGTATGCCCTGATACTTAGGGAGTCTCTTTCTGCATTACTGATTAGAGCAATTTACATCTTTGTTCCCATCTAGCCCAGGAAAATCCACTTATATCTGTTTCCTCAGGGTTAGATGCTTATCAAATGTTTACTTGATTGAAATTGTGACACTTCACCATCTCAATCTTTTCACAAACTTTATGATGTCGCCTTTCTGCAGGAAATTCCAATAAAGAATCATGTATATCTAATGCTAGGTGCATCATTTGGTTCGGCAGCAAAAGGAACTGGGCTCAAGGCGCTTGAATTTTCTCTCTCCATTTGTGATTCAGTAGATATGTATGGATTCACTGTGGATCCAGGTTATAAGGAATGGTAGAAAATTCACTTTTATTTTTGGTTCTAAATTTCTATTTCTTGCTATATTTTTCAGTTTACCTTAACCTTTATGATATTCTTTCAGGACTAGATATTTCTCTGAATCTCGACAAGGCCATACTCCTTTGCATGGTCGGGCTTACTACCAGATGATGGAATGTTTAGGAGTAAGTCTAAAAGTGCAATTTTCTCTCTCTTCTTTCTCTCATGATGATACCATTTTGATTATAAACTTTACAGTGAAGTGGTTTGATCTTTGTGTCATTTTGTCATATATGGTAGATGTCTATTAACCATTGGAATTCCAGATGGAAACATCTCAGTTTCCTTGAAACTTCCTATCAAGCAATTTTTAAATTTCAGTTTGTGTGCTGTTTACTGTTCTGAAGTCATGGTCAACTGCTCCATGACCAGTCTAAAATTGTTGACCTTGTGGTTATTAAAATTTTCCTCCATGTAACTGGGTGAACACATGCATCGTGTGCTTTCTTCATGAATATAATGGCAATCCTTTGTATTAGTTGGTTGGTAATTATTACCTAAGATGCTGACATTTCTGTGTTTTTTGTTTTATAGCTCATCAAAATACATTCCCCCATGAGAGCTGATCCAAATCGTGTTGTAAAATGGGTGCCCAGTCGTGGTACAATTAGTGCTGCTAGAACAGCATCTGAGAAATTGTTAGGGTAAGTAGTGCTGATTGGATCTGCTTGGATATCTTTTACCCTTGTATTATTCACATGTATATTACCTAGTCTTATTAGAATGTAAGACTGAATAATTTTATATGAATGATCATTTAAGCAAATTTCATCGATCAAATAGGATATATTTATGTCAGGGTAGAGGTACTTTTGCTTTCAAACAGCTTTCCAAGGTATAGAGCATTTAGAAGATACAAACAATGTTTACTGAAGTATGACTTTTTGTGAGCCTCTTCTCTCATTACTGCCAAGTGGTCTCTCTTCTGGGTTGGCTGTACCTCTGACCTTCCTCACATTATTCTTTACTTTCGGTGCTCTTGGACCATGGTGTTTCTTTGGACAAATGCTGTTGGTAGCTGCCAATCCTTCATAATGTTTTCTTAGTACCTGAGCAGGTTTACTATATTGGGTCAGTAAACCTTGAAGAAGGGTTGTCAATTAGTGGATGTGACTTGTAGCATCCTTTGGCTTTCTAGCATAAATATCTCAAAACTACAGTTCTATACTCTTTCATTTCTTTTTCCTGTCGGGACTATTTAATTTTCAGTCTAAAGCTAACCTTTTGGATGTGCTATTTTGTTGTATGTTTGTAGGAGGGTTGGAGCAGGGTCTGGAGATCCACTGGCTGCTTGTTCAATAAAAAAGAAGCGAGTTAAAGGGAGGTTTACTCCAGAATCAGGGCTTAGAAAGGCCGCTGTTGACCACCAAAAGTTTGTCAAAGGCACGTCCATGTATCCTTTAGAGCACAGTCCTGGGCCTGGTCAACTTTGTATAGTACCAAATTGATTGAATACATGGCATCTGGACTTGATGTTTTCACAGGCCAACCGGCTAAAATCTTTTTTATTGGTTCATATACATCACACAAACCAGTTAATTAGACAAAGGAAGAGACCTGTTCATATATTCGAAGCAGCTGAAATCAATCAAGATGTTTATGAAAATTTTGTTGGTCAGTTTTCCACATGCTGTCTCATGTTTTTAAGGTTAGAATTTCCTTACTCAGGACAAAATATAGGTCAGAGCAAAATTAGTTCTCTTACCCTCCTGGTTGTAACTCCACTATTCTTTATTGGGTTAATGGCAGCGCATTTATAATCCAGGAGATAGTTAGCAGATAATTCCTTAATCCAGTCTGCAAGGTTTACCATTATCATGTTGGGTTTGTTATTTGTTTAAGAATGTTTTTGTTACCTGCATAACTGGAGTTGAACTATTGCCTCCCTGTCATTTGGGGCCTGTATCAATTATGAAGGCACCTTTAGGATCCGTAATTCTTGAGGGGAATATTCCAATATCTATTTCTGATAGATGGAAAATGTAGTAGCTTAGATGCAGGAAGCGTTTTTTTTGGTTTAATTTCTATCCTATTTATTTAATAATTGAAACATTTTTTACAGGTAGACTTGAATTACAGCTCAGGCTTGCTACTTTGCTTCCATTGGGTTCTTTAATTTGAATTTTAGAGTTTTTCTTCTATATTCTGCTTTAACTAGTTTAGTAATCAGCAACGTATAAAATTTTAATTGAACACGAGAACAAAATACTAACTTCTATTTTATCTTGTTTCTTGTGCTCTCATTCTTATTTCATAAAATTAATATTTTTTATTATTGGTATTCTGGTATCAACGTGAAAGTATGACGTTCACATGCTTATATCAAAGTTACTAAAATATTCTGATGCCTGCCGCCCGGTGTGGTATTCTGATATACTTTGTTGATCTCAAATTCACACACCATTAATAGCTATTCCTAAATCATAAATGAGTGCATAGAGAAATGAAAATCCACATCCTACTATGGATTTTGGAATAGATTTCTTGTCTTAATATTGTAAAAGCTGCTGGAAGAAGTCAGAAGTTGTCTACTTACTCGATCATGGGGCATGGGGAATCAGTTTATTGGTAACCGTAGCCTCAGGATGTCATGTAATTGATGCATGGAAACAATATTGGAAATGAGTTGTTTGCAATATTTGTAGTGTAGAAGACTAAAATCATAAGTTGAGGAGAATAATCATGTGAACTTTTTAGGTCAGGTTACAGAACAATTACCATGTGCACTTTGTTACTTTCATTAAAAAGACAGCCAAGTGCTTTGGTGTAAATAGGTTTCCTGTGTAAATTCTCCCATAAACTTTGATTTTAAGCATTTGAATTTCCAACTTTCTTCCAGGTAATAAATCCATAAGAATGATAGATGGGATTCATATAAATAAAATGTGATATATTGGTCATTCTTTGATTAGATGGTGAATATTTTTATATCTTTGTATGAATGTGTAGATTCAAGTTGGGATCATCTCATATATTCTTGTTAGGAAGTTGATGTTGTATTATATATGCTTTTGTTAAAAAATTTGTATTATCATTAATGTACATTTATCGATAATAAATGTATAAATTTGTACTTGAAAAAATTAAAGATGATGAAAGATAGACGTAACTGACATGTATGGAAAGCAATATAAGTTCATGTTCCAAATCAAGAACTTTTAAATAAATATTTTAAGACCAAAGAAAATCATGCCCAAAAAAATAGAAGAAACTTTTTTCTTGTAAGAGAATTCAATCACCACCAAAATATATTCAATAAACCAACATTCCCTCGATCATTTAATACTGATTCTAAGAAGCCTCCATGTACTTATTGTGGATTTAATAACCATACTAAAGAAAAGTGTTATAAGAAGCATGGTTATCTATCCATCAAGTTATTGGTCAAGGAATTCTAAAAATGTAGATTTTGCCAAGACTAATCAAGTGCAGGTTCATGATTCAGCCATTGGAGATCCTACTTCTATTGATGTTGATCATCCAAATGAACAACATGATGCTAATAATATCTTTACTTCCAACACTCAGCTAGATAAGACACTTATGTCATTTACCAAGGAGCAATACAAGTAGTTGTTGAGTCTCATTCAGCATCATAATCAATCCACTGTTGCTACAGTTTCAGCTATTACACATCTCAACCTGTTACTTTTTCTCCACCAAAAGCTGGTATGCTAATCGTTAATAACATTTTTTTAATAAGTACATCAAAGCATTCCAATATTGAGGATTGGATTATTGATTTTGGAGCAACATATCATATTATTTCTTCATTAAGTCTCTTTACTTCTTATACTTCTGTCACCAATTTCTTTGTTAAATTACCTAATGATCTTACTCTTCCAGTTACTCACATTGGAATTGTTCACATTTCACAAGATCTCACACTTATTTCAATTCTCTTTGTTCCTCAATTTACCTTCAATTTATTATTAGTTCATAAACTTACATCAACTATTGATTGTTGCTTTATTTTTCTTAATCATCTGTGTTTCATACAGGCTCTTCGATCGTGGAAAATGATTGGGCTAGCTAAGCATAGAGATGGTCTTTATCACTTGACATGTTTCTCACATACACCAGTTGTCAATCATGTTTCATCCCTGTCCACCCTTTTGATTTATGGCATTATCGCATGGGGCATCTATCTACTCCTAGACTCCAGCAACTTCTGCAATCTCATTCGAGGATTTTTATTCCTTCCAATTTTGTTTGTGATATTTGTCATATGGCTAAACAAAAACGTTTGTCTTTTCCCTTGAGTACTACGAGTAGTACACATTATTTTGCATTAATTCACGTGGATATTTGGGGTCTTACTGAAAATTCTATCTCTGGTTATAGATACTTTCTCACTATTGTAGATGACTTTAATCGTTTTACCTAAATTTTCTTTATGCAATGTAAATATGAAATAAGACAGTTATTACATAACTTTTATACCTTGGTTTCCACTTTATTTCATTCTAAAGTTTAGTATATTATAAGTGATAATGACCCTGAGTTTTTTATGACTGATTCCTACAATCTTCATAATATAATACACCAAACTTCATGTGTTGAGACACCTCAACAAAATGACTTGGCAGAACGTAAACATCAACATCTTCTTACTGTGGCTCATGCTTCAAAATTTCAAAGTCATCTACCTACTTCATATTGGCCTTTCTTTATTGCTCATGTCATACACTTAATCAATCGTACCCCATTTTCCATTATAAATAACAAGACTTCTTATGAATTATTACATCAATCTCTACTAGATTTATCTCATATCAGGGTTTTTGGTTGTCTTTGTTTTGTTTCTACACTATCACATAACAAATCCAAGTTTTCTCCCAAAGCCATTAAGGGTATTTCCTTGGGTTACAAACCTGGCACTAGAGGTCATAAAGTTCTAGATTTGCATACCAAGAAAATTATAATTTCGAGAAATATGATTTTTTATGAGAAACACTTCCCTTACCCTTCATCTTCAGATACTCCTTTTGTTTATCCTGTTCCATATTAATATTTGAAACCTTTTTATTCTTCTCCTTCTGTTACTTCTTCTCTTTTTGATACTTTCTCACCTTTTAATTCTGATCCTCCTCCACAACCTGTTTCTCTTCGACGTTCTGTGAGAACCAAACATGCTCCTTCATACCTTTGTGATTACCATTGTCAATTAATCAATAAGGGAGGCTGCTCAGGCTACTCATGATTCCACATATAAAAAAAAACACAGATTCTTCATGCACAGGCTCACCTTGCACTTTTTCTCTAAGTACTTTTTTATTCTAATTTATCTACTTCACATATGACTTTTGCTCTTTTTATTACTATATCCAG